ATCTCACTTGGTCTGTATGTTAGAGATTCCAATTTTGCCCAAGCCTTAACATGGAAAGGATGTCAAGTGTGATCGGTTAAAGGATGTTTGCCCCTGTATTACATGTTGGTGAGAGCCTAAACCTGTGCGGCACCTATAGGTTAGCAGTGGGAAATAAAGCATGTATGGATATTTACAAGCAGGAGAGATTTCTATTAGAAAAGCTTTGTAGAGTTTATAGCAAAAAGGTTGTAGATGAAGATTCTCCCTAAGGTTGTGAGCGGAGTGTATTTGTGGATGCTTCCCGTGTCCCTTCTTCCTTCAGTAATCCAGCAACCTTTTGTGGAACTCTTTGAAGCAAGCAGGATTTTACATGGAGTCCCAGTGATTCATTTAAATTGCAAGTCTTGTTGAATTGCTCATAGCCACATGACACAAATATAATTATTTTAGTGTACTTAACAATTGCATAGCATCCAGAAGTGGCACAGGATAAAGCACAATTCTATATAATCACCTTTTAAATTAGCCATGTAGATCATTAAGATGCTATGCTGTGAATTCAGTGGTGCTTCCTATTATGTCTTTGCACGTAGTGCACATAACATTCACCAGTTTGTTACACTGAATTACAACAAAGCTAATCAATAGTATATTGTTTTCTACCACACAGTTCAATAGGAACTTTTAGAGGTTTTGTCATTGCTACTTTAATATACCTAACTGTAAAATGTGCTTTTTACACTATTTCATAAATTTTGGAGAGAGAGATAGGGATGGTTATTTTCATTTTGAGTATGTGGTCACCTGAAATTTAAATGTAAAAAAAAATTTAAATGTTTTTCACAAACTTCATCTAACTACTATTTTAAATCTCTTTTCCTGGTACCTGACTGATTTAGAAGGCAAATTCTTAAATATATGTTTGGCATAGGTCTTCAGGTATAAAATGCATGTTTCAGAGGTCATTATACTCACTCCTTTCTGTGGTGATTCCTCTCCTCACAGGAGAGACCTGTGAAAAGGTAAATCTGCTTGACTGGGGTTTGCTAACAGTTTACACTCTTGATTTTATTTGGTCAATTTTCATACTTACCTCCTGGTTGCCTGCAAGTTTTGTCCTTCAATACCTACATCCCTTACAGCTGCATCATTCTGTAAGCTCTAGGTACTACTTTTTAAAAGCCTACAAAATAACCATATTACCTTTATTTTTATTTACATTTTTTTGGGAGTGTAACTTTAAGCTCCTTCACCTTGACTAATACATCCTGTGTTATCCTTAAAATTAGAGTCTGCACAGGTCTCAAGCATGTGTGGTTACAGTTGAGAAATCAAGGTTTAGAAGCTCTGCAATTACTAATTCTTTGTTTATGTAGGTGCAGTCCTTCAGATCCACCACACTACGGTGTACTTTGTCACTGCTACAGTTCTCAGTAGCATATCTATTTGAAGATGCAAATAAAACTGTGTACACATAATTAAAAACAATCCAGCACATCACGAAGAGATCTTTAAACCAGTAACATGAGAGCTCCTGACCTTTCTGAGAGAAATGTGTTGGGGCTTTGCCTGAACAGATGTCTAGATACAAAATGAGAGCATGACACCATCAGTCATTTTTAGAGAATGTAATGCCACTGACTCTTCTGGCTAGAGTTTGTGACTGTGATGAGTTGAAGCATCTGGGGCGTGAGGGTGTTTTGTGAGGCTTTTTTTGTAGCTACTAGGTAACAGTTTATGTATTTGTTCAGTTCTAGAAATTATGCAGTCGAATTGTCACACTGAAAATCAGCAAGCTGAATTTCTTGCACCTGTAGTTGCCTAAGATCAGAGTAAGGCTTCAAAATATCCCCCAGTGTTTCTTCTGAAATAGAAGAGTGTGACTACAGTAGAATTGACAAAAGTGTCTCATGATTTCTTGTGGCCTACAAGAAACTGCTGGGTATTCTTCTGCAGAGCAAGCTTAATGGTGGGTTTGTAATGTTGTGAAGCAAATTTCACCTGTACCACCCAGTCTTCTTGCTTTGCCAGCAAAAGGTCATGTGGACCACGGGTCCAAAGCAATACCCTTTATATCCGCTGCGGTCCATACTTTCAACATCTTTTCCACTTGTCAAAAGAAAGGATTATTAACAATGCAGAGAAGAAATTGCTGAGAACTTTCCCTGCAGATGTACCATTCTGCTGCATAATTTGCGTGTTTGTTTTGAATTGTTATTAGTTACCCCAATGTCGCTTGTTGTATCTCCTGTTTAATCTCTGAGGGTTTTATATTAGTGGTTAGCATATATGAAATATTGCATTATTATGCTACTTTGTGCTTTCATCTTTTTTTTCTACCCATTTTTGCTATTAACTCAGTTAGTAAGCCAACTATCTACAATTGTCCGATGTATTTAAAAGCTCTGTTTTGATAGTAGGCATCAGACCTATCCATTTCCTCTCTTTGTACTTCCACGAAGTTCCTCTTTGCTTCATAGTGATTTTAAATAGAGGTTAGGAGTAAAGTCTGTAAAAGAATTTTTTAATTCAGAATACTGTCACAGTAGTAGTTTTCAACACTAAAATAAACAGGCAACTCTTTAAATACGTATTATTAATGCTACAGAATGGTTTACAAAAACTGGAAGCAATGTTTCTGTAAGGAGAGTAGCTGACCCATGAAAATTGCAGTTCTCATAAGACAAAACCCTTGTATACTACTTTTCTCAAGCCACTGATTATCAGAGAGGATGGAAATTGAAATCACTGTTATGGACGTGAAGCAGACAAAGTTCTGTGTGACGTTGCTGATCTTTCCTGCGGGGTTCCTACAGTGTTCTCCATGAGTTATTTCATGGTTTTACTTCTGTCAGAGGCAAACACCCGCATGCAGTGCTATGCATGGCTGGAAAATATTTTGGGTTTTCTCTGTCTTACAAAAGTCAACTAGTCCAAGACGTGAGACTGTGAATTTCAGGTACATTGTTTTAAATTGTTTATGATTTTTTTTTCGAAGGAGGCAGTGGGAAACCCTAATCCTGAATATTTTGCAACAGAAGAGGAAATTGCACTACTGCAATGCTATAATTACTGTACTAGTCAGGAATAGGGCAGCGGTTTGGGGTTTGAACTTTAATCAGTTTTATAGAATGGTTGAAATACTAATTTTTCTCTAAGTCATGTTTTGCACTCCACTATGCATACAATAATTCAAACATGAACCTGTTGCTTATGTCCTGTATGAAATGGCTCCCAGACTTTACTCCAGTACTGGTGCTGCTCTGCCACCACCTCGTGGTGAAGTTGCTGTATGGGAGTTAAATAGAGGCACAGAGAAAGATGAAGTTTCTCCATATGAGAATTAGACATTTTTTGACCAACATGATTCCTGACATTTTCCAAAAAATGAAGCTGCAGAGGCTAGGAGTTCTGAAAATAGGAGGAGTTGTTTATGTTAGAAATGCTGCTTCCAAGTAATGAATATGTCTGCAGTGCAATAGAAAAGAAGATATGTAACATTCCCATGTAGAATAATAAAAATGGTATCATTTATGTGGGAGAAGACTTATTCCTGGCTTAGACAAAAGTATGTAAAAACTCACAGGTTTAAATGTGGGCAGTGGCTGGACCAAAGTGTACAAGAGTATTCAACATAAGCCCCAAATCCTCTCATCCTTTGTGTTTAGGAGAAATGAGAGCACAAATTTATACTTGTAAGAAAAAGTGGCTCTAATCTTGCTGAATTTGATGTCAGATGTTGTCCGGAGTTTGGCTGAAATGTTCAAGATTTTAAGGAGAACTTAACTTTGGGTACTCTTTTTGCTGAGACATTGGATTTGAAACTCAAAATGTATCAATATTGCTCACAAAAACACATACATTCAAAACTTTAAAATCTTCATGGCTTTCTTTATGTCAGGAGGTGAGTGACATTAACAAGTTCATATCCTAAAACGCAATGATGCCTTATTAGTTAAGAATTAACATTAAACCATAGCTAATAATACCATACAGCCAATACATACCTGTGTGTGTGTCCTCAGTAGAGAAGGCAGACAAAAGCAACCTACTAACCAGCTTTCAACTGAGAAAAGTCCAAATTCTCATGATGGCATTTAATTTTTACAATATGTGCCACTAACAATGAGTAAGCAATCTGTTGTTAAACAGATATTAATGTGAAAGTTTTTGATCCCTACAGGTATCTTTACAAGTGAGGATAATTTTTTTTTTTTAATTTTACATTTTCTGCCAATAAAAAAAACATTTTATATCTTGTTATTCCTAATATTAAACCAAATGTTTAAAAGTAACCTATGAACACCAAGTTCTTACAGGGTAAAGTTTGAACAGCAAAAATCTTATCAGTCACTTTACTGATGTTTGCTAAAATTGAAGTTATCCTGAGGAACTATCAGAGGACACTGACATTCGGAATAGCAAGAACTGCTGACAGGGCTTTGTGGTGTTTTAGTAGCTAAACAGGAGAGTAATTGTTCAGAAATAGGAGTTGGCAGTTTGATGTGACAGTCTTTGTGTTTGTCCTCATTGCTGCACACTGACCCTTGTACGTTCTTTTCCTTCATAATGTAGCTTTTTTATTTATCCTGTAATTTGATCCACCAATGACAAAATGTTTACTATTAATGCAGTGATGTATTGGATATTTAGTGGATTATGTAGCCAAGTCAAATGAGTGTAGGAGTGTTTATGCCTCCCTTGTGTTCACTGTGATCAAAGCTGTGTGCACTAAGCAGTGAGTTCTGTGAAAGGTAACTTTGTAAAACTGGTGCAGAATTTACTGCAGATTCTCAGTATTTGCATGATGGTACATCCGTGCTTTGCAGAATTTTTCCATTAGAAAAAAGATTGAATTTGCCCTATATATAATATGTGGAAACAAGCACAGGTTTTTGTAGCATAGCAGCAGGCATTGGATTGCTATAGGCTATAGCTTTGCAGCATGATGTTTTCAACCAGTTTCAACTTTCATATGAGCTATAACCAAAGTTGTTTTGTATCTTTGTTTTACTCAGCTGGAAAGTCATCAATTCCAGGCAAGACTACAGACCCAGAATAAATCAGTGCATTTCAGAAACACTGATGAATTTATTTGTATTTCTTCAAGAAATGTCCCACTTCAAGGAACAAAACCCTGGCAAGGTAAGCACTCCCAAGTAAGATTAACAGTTTGATATTATTTAATAAAGAGATGAGATAGAAGAAAAATACAATACAGATTATTATACCTTCAGTTATGATTTTCTGCTTTTTCCTGTGGAGAATACTGGCAGGTCATCAGTAAGCAAAGCTGTTCACAGTAAAATTTATAGCAATACAGTCACTTCCCTTACAGCTGCTGGAACCTCACTAGTCATTCCATGGAGAGGAAATTTAAAACATCACAATGTACTAAAACTTTGAAAAAGCAGAAAAAGTATTCAGTTCCTAAACTTTTTTTTTTTTTTCCCTGAAATAACTCTATTTTTGAGAAGTAGCTGCACGCATACTAAATGATAGAAGAGAATTCCAAATATTTTATTGTGATAATTTTTTTTTTTTTTTTTTTTTTTGCTGGAAAGGGTGAGCTGGAGAACCCAGTTCATGAGGAGGCAAGTAAGAGTAAGGTTTCTTCCTTCTAAATAGGAAGAGTATCATGATGTAGTTCTAGCCAAAAGCGACGCAACTTTCTTTTCCAAAGAAAAGTAAAAATAATGTAGACGCCTATCCTGGCAATAGTAGATTTTATTTTTATATTTGTATTACTAAAATATAATTCAAAAGGAGATTAGGAGGCTTTTTCTCCTCTTTTGATCTCAACTAGCTTTGCCACAAAATCTTTCCTGAAAACAGGCCCTTCTGAATTAGCGAATAGGAAGTATTTAGTGCCACAGTAAATATTAGGAGTTTAGACTGAAAATAACAGATGTGCAACAGGATTAAATACATTTCAAAGAAGAATAAATTATACGAAACAAAGTTAGTTGTTTAGGATAATGAAGTTATTTTTAAAAGAAGTAGGTGTATATTGAGCTAAGGAAATGCAATATCACTATACACAATCCCATAATTTTGTCATGTAGTAACATGACACAGTAACTGTATGTTAAGATACAGCTAATACTGATTTAGTACTTTTTTGACATGTTTCATTTGCATTTTCCTGATCTCTTTCTCAAAGCTGTGTCCTTATTTTACTGCTCTAATTACAAGCAAATTAGGCCCTAATGCTATGTGCAAAACTTTTTTTTTTATTAATGATTTTATTGCAGTTCAACTCCAAAAGCAAATGGATTCTTTCTGTAAGCAGACCAATCCTGCACTTGGGATGATGCAACTGTGAAAGATGCTCTTTATGTCTTGGTCACAGCAGAAGCCAAGTCTCAAGTTTTATATTGAAAATTCTGCTCAGTCTTGATGTTAGCAGGGATGCTAAAGCAGAGTAGCCAACAAGCATCAAGAGGATGCTTGCCAGCATAGGAGAGAGAACAGTTGCACAAAGCAACAGAACAGGGGAGAGAACTGTACTTATAAGAAGGAATTATTTTTGCTTTTCTAAACATGCAGCAAGTATGCATTGTAACATTTCAGTTACTGAATGGTTTTATTTTTTTCCCTGCATATCAACTGTTCAGCCTTTTTTTCTGTAATGAAGGTGAAGTAATTTCTAGTTGTTTTTTTTTTTAATTTTAGCATTAACCATGAACTTGTTGAAGCTCTACAGTAAATGAATAAAAAGTAGTGTATTTCTTTAATAGGAGGTACATCCTCATTAGCCAAAATGGGAAATTGCTTATTTCCACTAGAAGCGTTAAAGTATTTCCTAATTTTATTTTAAAAACCTTCAATTCCCCACTGCATTCTAGATTTCGTTTAGCATGCAACATTTTTCTTTTGCAAAATGATCTAAATATTTAAACAGTGGAAGCGCTAATGGCCAATTTTAATGTTTCTGCCAGTTTTGCCTGCTAGTCTGCAGTATATGTACATTTTTCACTGTCTTGGGGAGTTACATTCCTGGAGTTGTCCTCTCCTATGTCTTGTGTAAGTAGAGTCTCTTTTTCCATCATGATTTATGTATGTGGTTTGATCATCATTTGGTCTCTGTATAGGGGGTACTTACTTATTTGTATTTACACACACATGCAAGTTGCAGATGACACCAAGCCGAGTGGTGCAGTTGGCACACCAGAGGGATGGGATGCCATGCAGAGGGCCTAGAAAAGCTTGAGAAGTGGGCATCTGTGAACATCATGAGGTTCAACCAAGCCAAGTGCAAGATCCTGCACCTGGGTTGGGGCAACCCCCAATATCAATACGGGATGGGGGATGATGGGATTGAGAGCAGCCCTGTGGAGAATGACTTGGGGGTACTGGTAGATGAAAATCTGGACATGAGCTGACAATGTGCATTCACACCCCAAAAAGCCAAGAGCATCTTGGGTTGCATCAAAAAAGTCATGGCCAGCAGGTGGAGGGAGATTAATCTTCCCCTTTACTCCACTCTCATGAGACCCCACCTGGAGTACTGCATCCAGTTCTGGAGTCCTCAGCACAGGAAAGACATGCACCTGTTGGAATGGGTCCAGAGGAGGGCCACAGAAATTATCATAGGGCTTAGAACCCGTCTCCTATGAGGAAAGGCTGACAGAGTTCGGGTTTTTCAACCTGGAGAAGAAAAGGCTCCAGGGAGGCCTTATTGTGGCCTTTCAGTACTTGAAGGGGGCCTAGGAGAAAGCAGGGGAAAATCTTTTTAGCAAGGCCTGTTGTGATAGGAAGAGGGGTAATGGTTTTTAACTAAAAGAGGTTTTTAACTAGTCTAGATTTAGACTAGATACAAGGACAAAATTTTTTACCACGAGGGTGGTGAAACACTCGGCTCTGAGCAACCTGATCTAGTTGAAGATGTCTCTGCTCACTGCAGGAGGGTTGGACTAGTTGACCTTTAAAGGTCTCTCCCAACCCAAACCATTATATGATTCTATGATGCATATTTATATATACATACACACATATATCCATACGTATGTAGGTTCTGACAAGTGCTTTTTGTCATTTGGAAGTCAGCTTCCAAGTTTTTTCAGCATGTTGATACTGGCAGTGTTGCATAGTCACGATTCTCAGGTAGAGAGGTATCAAAATCAGACTAAATCAAGATAATAATAGATGTTACAGTGATCACAAATTGTGCCTTACTGGTAATAAAAAGGCTGTCAGTATGAATACAGTGGTATTTTCTGCAGTGAGTAGGAATGGCTCCTAGAAACTGGATGTGACATTAGCAGTTTGTCTGACATAGGCATTTCACAGTGTGTTTTTATGCAAAACTAATTGTTTTATGTAAAATTACTAGTTATCTTATGCAAATGAATGTTTCAGCTTTATTGAGTAACTTCTTATAAAGCAATATTTCAATACAGTTTTTCTCTCTGTCTTCATTTTTATCACAGTATTGTGTGCCTTTTTATGTCCCTTCCTTAAGTGCAATGAATTTGGACAGAAAGTGTGCAACAAAATTAAGACTGTTCTGATGAAACTAGATTTTGGAGTAGTGGAATATATCAACCAGAAGAAAAAAGAGAGATCTGGTGAGTAGTTAAATATAGTCCCAAGTAATGTATTTCTGTATGCAGAGAGAAGTTTGTTGCCCTTGCAGACAGATTGGTTTGTCCTGCAAAGCCACCTGTAAATGTATTTCTTGCTTTGAACCTGGCTACTGTGCATAGCTTTATAAGGTGTTACACTGTGTATCAGGCATCTGATATGGTAAAAAAAGTAATGATATGATATGGTAAAAAAACTAATGATTTCATGGACGGTAACAAGGCAAGACTGGTGATTCTCCTCATTCTTGATTAGGTGTACTGTTGGTAGGTTTTCAGGAAAAACTACTCACTCTAAGTATGCAATGCTTAAAATCTCTGTTTAAATAAGGCAAACAACAGCCAAGGAGAGAGACTCATTCAAGAACACTTAAGTACATTATCAGAATTTTCAGTAAGAGCCTGAACTCTGTTCCAGTAACTAATCCCACAGTGTTTTCACTCCCAACAGGAACAAGAATTTGTTTTCTTTCCCAAATCCTCAATAAGTATTTAAGAATTGCAGTAGGATAGTAGGCACAAATTAATCAAGATTTTGGTTAGAAAAGGGAGAAATAATTTTAAAACAAAATCTCACCTATCTCACCTGAGATCTTTTTAACATTTGAAACTTTTAGATATTAAGAATAAAGCTATTTCAAGAAAATTATTTATATGAACAATGTTATTCTTAGTTTGCTTTTTGTTTGTTCTACAGTATTGGTAATTAAACCTTTGTAGTGTAGTCTCCTGTATTGTTCCACCTGGTTCTACTTTTATGAGAAACTGGCAGAGAGAGAGATCAGACTATTGTTTCATAAATGTCATAAGCCAGCACTGGGCAAATGGTTGAGGTTAGCTTTGTTCTTTCTTGCTTCTTGCCTTTCTCAGTTAATTTAACCGAGGCAAGTTCCCTGCCTTGCTTTGCTACTCGGGTTCACTACAGGGGTTCACAAACCCTTGTGCTGGCACAAGAGAGGAAATAGCAATTTGAAAAAATAGGCAACCAAGAAGAGCATGACTGTGTTTTTCAGATTATACTGGTTTAAAATATTCATGAGGCTATTCTCATGCAGAGAGAGGAGGTGAAGTTTGTGTCTCTGTTCATCTATAAGGAGCAACATTCAGCCAGGCTTCAGAGGATGCTTTGTATGCCTATTTGCATAAAAATGTGAGTGCAGGGTAGCTGGTGCAAAGAAGAAGGGATTTATGAATGAAGATTGCATGCAGTTATCCAGAAAATTGCATGTTGTCGCCTAAAGGTAATGTGCTGGGATAACTACACTGCCTGTTACAACTGGGATGCTGTGCCAGCAGTGCAGTTTAAAAGGTAAGATGTTTATTGCCAGGGCAGGTAACCCTCTGGTGAGCAGCAGAGACTTCTGAAGGAGGTACAATACAGGTAAATAACTCTGTTGGAATGTATTTCAGAGCAACATTCTCTCTCCTGCTTTGGCTGCTGCACAATGTATTTTGGTAAACACCGAGCCTCTGAGCGTGCCTGGTTTTCCTCACCTTAGTAGAGTATCACATAAGTGATGCACTTTGTCAACAGGTGAAAGTTTCCTGTCCTATGCAAGCTGTGTGACAGAGAACACACACTGAACTTGGGAGTCTATTGTCATGAGTAGGATAAAAAATATTTTTTTTTCTTTCAGAAACAGCAAAAACAAAACCCACAGAAGATGACAGTGAATTAGACATATCAGCCCTGTGTCCTAAGGTGACTTTTTTTCAGTCAGCCTTTTCTTGCTTTTAAAATCTATATAGATAATGGCGAGTATTTAGACTACTGTCTCTGTTCTTCTGTGGAAGACTTTAACTTGCTCAGGAGGCTGTGTTCCTGAACTAAGTAGTATGCTTTAAAAGTGGCTCATAGTCTCCATCTTTAGGCTTATACTAATTGACTTAACTGCATTTGTGACTTCTGGCCTTCAAGGTGACGGTTTCTTTGGCCTACTGAACTAAGAATGTGTTTATTTTCTGTTGGCTGTAGAATGATTAAAATTTCATAGCAAAGAGCTATTTTTATTTGCAACAGTGAAATTGCAGTTAATTTTTATCAAATAACAGTACAAAAGGGAAGAGTTGGTAGAAAACCGTCATAATTTGTCAGATGCTTCTGTAATCACTTGTCTGATCATTTTAAATGATAGTATAAATCAGTATATTATCTATAAATATATTTTGAGATATGCATGAGAACTCTCTAATATCTCCTTTCCCTCTTAATATTCTAAATAACTGTATGGCAAAGGATTTTCCATTATAATCAGTACAGTGATTAATACAAAATATTTTTATTTAGCTAGGTTTTGACTGTCTTATAGATAATGGGCTTGGTTCTTGATCCAAACTGATGCATTTATTTACATTTATGGATATTTTGTATTTGCAGGCTCATTCTGCTTTCATTAGAGCAGGCTATTACTTTCAAATTCAAATTTCTGGAATTTTCTATGCTTCTTTAGTATAATACATCTTTCAGTTATTACAGAGAGGCATGCTTCACTTCTAAGTAACGTATACGCCTATTTTCATGTTTCTACCATTAAAGCTTAAACAGAAGGCAGTTTATATTGTTGTGACATACAAGAGGCTTCTTTTTCAGTATCTAAGAATTTGCTTCTTTCCTGTAGCGTGAATCTTTTGAGTATAAGAATACTATGTATGGGACTTTTTTGTGTGCAGATTAGTCCTGCGGTGGTTGCCAAAGAGCTGTCGGTGTCTGACACGGATGTCTCAGAAGTATCGTGGACCGATAATGGGACCTTTAACTTATCCGAGGGGTATTCTCCACAGACAGACACGTCTGATGGTATGTAGTGGCTTCCTCTGCTTCAGTGACCAATTGTGGTCCTGGAAGTCTCCTGAAAATGACTAGAGAATTTGGAGACAGAAATTTTTGGGGTTGTTGTTTTTTTTTCCTGTACAATGAATTTAAAATTAATTCCAATGTTTTATATAATTTTAGATACATCTTATATAAGAACTTTCCTCATCTTAAAAATAGTAAAGTACCACAGTAAGTGTCTAAATAAGTAAGTAGTGGTGGGTAAAACCAACACGTTGAATAAGTGCCAGATTTCACTCTCTCTTCCACCCAACCCTTTCAGGAAGTAAAATTTTTAAGTGAATACCAATGCTTTTGTGGGCAACCTATTCAAATAAAAGCTGAGGAAGAAAAACAGTGTGTCTTTATTGCTAAACAGACAAAGTATTGTTAGGTTTTGTTACTAGAATGCTAAAGAAGAAAGACAGCAATGAGCCTAAATTAGATGTGAAGACTAAGACTAGGAAAAGATTCTCAAGCACTTGTCTTGATCTTGACCAGATCTTTTAAATTCTTACTTTTTACAGATGAAGCGTTTAGATAGCACTCTGCCTGAATAAACATTAAGGTCAATAGTAGTTTGTTGTAATCTGATCTGTGGATTTGTTGCTCTGCTCATCTTGCATTTCTCCTTTTATAGGAAAAGTTCACTGTAGATGTCAAGTAGAGTGATATTACTTACTGACATTAATCAGGCCAAATAATTTAAACTATTTTCTTAATATTTCAAGCTGTAAATGGACAACATTGTACGATCACAGAATCACAAGCAGGAAGGAGCCCTTGTCATTCATCTCATCTAACCTCCTATTCAGAGCGGGTTCAACTTTATTGAGTTGCCCAGAGCTGTGACCATTCGAATTCTGAGCATCTGCAGTGCTAGAGAGTCAGAAACATCCCTGGGCAGCCTTTGTCAATATTTGCTCACCCTCAAGATGAAAAAATTTTTTCTTACAGCAAATCAAAATTTCCCGTGTTCCAGCTTGTGTCAGTTTGCTCTTATCTTTCCACTGTTGCACCTTTAAGAAGAGTCAGGCCCCCATCTTCTCTGTACCTTCCCTTTAGGTAAAGACAACTATGTGATCCCTCCCTTTGCCACCTTCTCTTAAGACCAAACAAAGCCCATTCTCTCAGCATCTCCTCACATATGTCCTGTTTTCCATCCCCGTAACAGTTATGCTGCTGCTCTAGTGGACTTATTCCAGTCTTTCATTGTGCACGCAACCTGGTGCTGCTGTGCAGGTTACTCTGTCCCAGATTCAGGACTTCACATTTGCTTTTGCTGAATTTCATGATGTTCCTTTTCAGCCCGTTCTTTTCACCAGCCTGCTGAGGTCCCTCTGAGGGCCCTGCCTTCCAGAATACCAAATAGACCTGTCCCACAGCAGCTCCTGTCTGCCTTCTGAGAGTGCACTCCATCCTGTGAACCAAAGCATTGCACAGTGTTGATTTCCGTACCTTTGAGAGATACTACTAATAACTGGCTCCAGTTGGACCTTGGATCACAGCCCTTTCACCCTCGTAGTCTGGCCAGATTTCCACGCACCTTACAGTTCACTTACCCAGTTTGCTCACCAGGTTGGCTGTCAGGATAATGTAGGAAACTGTGTTAAAGGCCTTGCTAAGTGAAAAATAAACAACATCCACTCTTCTCCCCTATGGGGCATTTCAGCAAATAGGACATACACCCAAGTGCAAGACCAGATGGGATACATCCGAGGACTGGCTCATCTCCTGTCAGAGCTCTGTGCACTTGAGCCACCACTCTACATACAGCACAGCCCTTCCTCCTCACCTTCCCAGCCTGTTTTTCCTAAAGAAAGTGGAGAAAATGACATACGAAGCATCTTTAGGATTCATTTCCTTAGCCCTTTTGAATGCTTGTTTTCTTAGAAAGTAAGTTAAAACTGACTAATTTTTATCTTGTCATTCAAATACTAGATCCAAGTATTCCCTTATGCTCATTTAGGCCTCTTCCACAGGCCATGTACTGTACAGTATGTTTTACACGTTTCTAATAATAAATGTCATGCCATTAATGCAGCCATAAAAACCTAATATTTTATTTGTTTGCATTCTGTTTTTTATCCTCTTGAAAATGTGAAGCAATCCTGGTCATCTCTAGTGTTTCCATTTTCTGTTTCGTTTAATACAAGCATTGGCCAAGAAAGGAAAAAGTAATAAAATTAAGTCTTTACGTAGGTTTTATATCTTTATTTAAACGTTTTTTTTTAATTCTACAAGTGTATTAAAAGTTTGTAATATATTCGTACATGCTTACGTACTTGTAATTTATATATTGTGCAGAAAAAGAGTTGAGGGATCTGTTGTCACATGATACATTTTAGGACTTTATGCGGTTGGTGTATTTAGAAATAGCTGTGCTAAAGATTTGCACAGGTTATTTCATATACAGCTAGATACCATTTAAAAAGATAATTTCCTAAAATAACTTTCTGAGTTAGGTTGATTCCAGGTGATTTGTGGTACTAGGTTCAGGATCTCAAAACCGTCTTATTTTAGATGTCACACAAAGCTCCTCTGCATTCAGACTACACAAGACTGCTAGACGATGGAATAGTAGATGTACTCAAAGGAACACTATCTAACTGCATTTTTATGTTTGGTTGCTTTTTGGGGAGGCCCTTCCTGTTTGCTAACACTGTTTCCTTCTGTTAACCCTGTAATAGATTTTGACCGGCCTAGTGATCATGAAGAAGCTTTTGCTAGAGATCTTACAGAATTTCCTTCTCTAGAAAACGGTGCTGGAACAAACGATGATGATGACTCGAGCATCAGTATGCCCATCCAGCAAAAACAAACAAAGGAACAAATGTATTTCGAGGTGGATGATGCTTCCAGACAGAATAAAGAGAGACCGTCCACTGCAGGGCTTTCCTTGCCTTTGACCAGTGACCAAACCTTTAATTTAATGAGTGGAATTGCTGGGGATGTCATCGCAGCTGCAGTGTCTGCCGCCATCAAAGACCAGTTGCAGTCTGCACAGCAAGCTCCCTCACATGCAGTGCCCAGTCTGAGCGAGGAGACAGACACAGAGGAAGCTGATGATTTTGAACTGCTTGACCAGTCTGAGCTTGAGCAGATTGAGAAAGAATTGGGACTTTCACAAGGCCAAGAAGCAGAATCCCAGGAAAAGAAAAAATCTTCAGGCTTCCTTTCAAACCTCCTTGGAAGTCATTAACCTGGAAGTTGCAGCTGGTAACAAGAAGAAATTAAACATAAACCACATACACAAGGAAATCAAATGCAAAAAAAATAATAATTCTGAGCTGTAAGCTTTAACTATCCCTTTAGATGTGTTGTAATAATTTCCCTTACGCAGAGTGAATTAACTGGATAAATATCAGCTGATACTGATAGTTTAATGTTTCTGGTAGTTACACCTCAATGTAATAGCATGGAAATGAATTATCTATCCACTGTTCGGTTGCAGACGAGTGTCGGAGGTCAGTTGTTCAAAAGAATTGGGAGAGAGAGTTTTTTTTGTCTTTTTGCCAACCATGTATTTTGGGGTCCTGAGCCAAATTTTCAGTGTTGTCAGTTTATTTGCTCCTGGTTGCCAGCTATGTAATCCGATTAATTATTTACACCATGAGGGTAAGTTATCAGAGGATTGCATTGAGATTAACTAAATCTCACCTCCTTCAATCACGCTGAAAAGTATGAATCCCCACAGTTAGCATTACGTAGAGTGCATGAACCAGCACAACTCTAGTTTAAATGTGTGCAACACTATCAAAGAACCTGATTTCGTACTTAAATCTTTGAATTATTTTGGATACAGTGATGCATTTCCAAGCTTCTTTGCTGTTTTAGGCTTGTAGTTGTACAGCGGCGTGCTGTTTGACTGACTACCTGCTGTGTTCCTTGATAGAGTCTGGTCCTTAGCAGTATTGCCCATGTTAAGTCAGCCAACATGTTTTTATGTTTAAGAGTTAATATCTCATAAACTGAACAACCTATCTGGGAGCAGGTGGGGGTAGTTATTGTTTGGGATAGAGGTAAAAAAAAAAAAGAAGTCTTCTTAGGTGCCACTTCCTTAATTCAAGATTCTGTGGGTTTGGGGTATTTTTCCCCACAACAGCTGCTATCACTTGCAACAGAAGTTGCATTGCAAACTGAATATTTTAAGATTCTTAGAAGTATTCAGTGAGGTCATTTGCTGTAGGAGACACTCAGAATCTTCCTCTTGGCATGTAATTTAAAACATACAAAAAAACCACCTTATTTGCCAGTTACAACTCCAGACATGATGAGTTAGTGGCATGGAATCTTAAGCAAGTAACTCCTGTAACTTCTTCTAAGGGCTTTTTTTGTTTGCCTGTGACAAAACTGAATCATAATACCAAACAATAGTAATGAAAGAAATAGGAAGAAGTCAAGCTAGTTTTTTTTTAATGTGATGTAAGCCATTAGCAAAGTTGAGGGACCATGTCAGCTGCTACTACTGCTCAAGTGATTTTCCATTTGCTGGCATTTGAAGAGGTGAATACTGTCATCTAGGACCCTCAGAAGTACAGCAACAGATTATAAAACTCTTCCACTAACATATGTGTGGAACACAGGTAGACCTGTGTTTAAAGTTAACTCCTTTTTTTTTTTTTTTTTTTCTCCTTTTGAGGTGAAAAAATAGGCAGATGGCCAAAAAGAGTGTAGCAAAAGGAAAGATGCTGAGAATTTTTGACACTAGCTTTATTGTTGCTTGTGCTTTTGTGTCGGTAATGCATATTGACTGTGTTTGCTGTCCTTTACCAGTAAAAAAGTGAGCCTGTGCCTTCATTATCAATACCATTATGAGGTAATTGGATGCTGGATATAGATCCCACAAGATGCAGCTTTTGAAATTACAACATCTTAATATCAAAAGCAAGTTTCTGGAAATGCTTTAAAAAAACATGGCCACATCGCTTCCACAGCGTTGGTTGCTAAGTTTCCTTTTTTAGCTTCCCCCAGCCTGCATTTCCCAAAAATAAAATAAATTTTAGAATTTAAATAAAATAAAGTAAAATAAAAGAAGCTTTTGCTGGGAAATTGGCAAGTTTGAAGACGATTGAAATTTCTCAGACGAGTTAAAAGCCTCGTCTCCCTGCTGCATGTTTAGGGCAACCTATTCAGTTAGAGCAACTTCCAAATTGCTGATGAAGCTTTGTGGGACACCCAAACAAATGTGTGCTTCCTTTTACAGGAAGGAGTACTGGTGCCAGAAAGGGAAACAGGCTACAGGACAGGAGAGGTGGGAGTGAGGGACGGAGCTGTCCTTCACAGGTTTTCGGGAGCAGGTCGATGGGATGGACTACCTGGCTGTCACTGGTGGCATTGTAACCGTGTGCACTTTATTGTTGTTTTATGAAGAATAGTTGTGGTTATAAAAATTCATAATGCAGGGGCACTCTTCTAGAATAATAGATTAGTTCAAGAAGGAAAAGCAGTTGGAGGAGTTTCTCAGACTTTTTGTAAATAATCCATTTTCTGGTTTCAAGACAGAAAAATAGATCCATTTTTCTCCAGTATGAGTGTCAATTATTTTTTTTTTTCAGAAAGAAAAACAAAGCAAAACTTGAACAAGTTAATAATTAATATTTAGGGGCATAACTGCTTATTTGTCTTAACAGTTTTATTTTTCTTTTCTTGTGGTAGTTGACTACATTCGAGCCCCTAAATACTGTGTAATGGGAGGGAGGCAGTTCTCTAACATTTAATATTCTTCCTCAGGTAGTGGAAAGATGCTTATTTTCTGCAGGAAATTAGGTCTCCCCTCCTAAATAACTGCACATAAGAAACACTTTACAATTCATTGTAAAGACACAATACATTCCACTGCCAGCAGTTTGACAGCAAAACACAAAGAACACATTTCTTTCCTTTGAGATCCCTTCCATGCTGCCTTCAGTTGGAAATCCCTCGAGAACCCTTCATTCCCCTGTATTCTAGCAGCAGCCACAAAATAGAATTTGCTTTGAAATTCCTGTCACAGTGTTCCACGGCATCTTTCCTACAGAGCACCTTCCCATCTTTCAAACGCGAGTGGTCGGGCGGGAAAGCAGGCGGGCGGGGGTGAGGTAGCACACGGCTTGGAAACGTGGGTTTGCTGGGGGGGAAGCCCGCTCGCTTCCCGTTCCCAGTGAGGAGGCAGGACAGGCAGCGCGCAGGGCGCCGATAGGGGCAGGGCCGTGGGGCCAGCACCCCGCGGTCTCCCTGCCGGAGGGCC